ATACATTCCATTTGTGATTGATTGATTGATTGATTGATTGATTGATTGATTGAGTTAATCATCCAACGTTTCATTTATTAATTGATTGATCGGTCTGACGATTGGTTATCCCACACACATACATTTGAATGTGGTTTTCACCTCACAAATGAGTTGAAATGACCTTGCGCAAAAAACAAAAAAACAAAAAACAAAAAAAAAAAACAAATACAATGTGCTTCGAGCACAACGACACATATGATAGCTCAGCGGAAAATGACAATCTGCGCACCGAAATCAGAATATCATAAGTACAAAAGCGACGGTCTTTTCAAACTCAGCTTCCACAAAACATTATACAAATGGCAGCCTCGACCTTCCTTCTACAAGCCATGGGAATCTCTCTCTCTCTCTCTCTCTCTCTCTCTCTCTCTCTCTCTCTCTCTCTCTCTCTCTCTCTCTCTCTCTCTCTCTCTCTCTCTTCGTCGTCGTTTCCACGTGTCAAGCATACACGGGGCCCCACTGCATAGCCCCCGTGTGTAGAAGTCGACGTGGGACACGTGGCAGGCTAATGAAAAAAAAAAAGAAAGCTACCGTGCCATCTTGTATTTCACTGCTCACGTCGAAAAAAAAGGAAGACCGAAAAAAAAAAAAAAAAAAAAGCTGCCGCGTCCAAAAAAAGGCAAACAAGGCGGCGGAAACCCCACAGCAGTGACAGCATACAAAAATCTCTCTCTCTCTCTCTCTCTCTCTCTCTCTCTCTCTCTCTCTCTCTCTCTCTCTCTCTCTCTCTCTCAGAAACCCAAATGTGACACTGCCGCTGTGACGCTGATCTTAGCCAAAGACTTCATCCCAGAACGATGGCAGTTCCTGCAGCAGGGCGTTCACCCACTTCACACCCTCCAGCTTCGCTTCGAGGTCTTCGACTTTCGTTTGCAAGGACTTGCAGCTGTCGCACGTCGCCACGTGTTCTTCATCCTGGAGCGTGACAGCTTTCACATCCTCCGCCAGGGCGTCGACATCACACGGCCCAGCAGATGTCATCTCTCCGAATTGCTCATCGCAACAGTGCCATGCGAGATCCCGTTGATCACGCTCCTCTTCCATGGCGGCGATGGCATCTTGCAACTGTGTCTCAAGATACGCATGCTGCTCGCGCGCTTTCTCGATCTGACACTGCAGCTCCTCATTGCGGTCCTTCAACGCATTAATCCCCTTCGTAAATGTCATGTATTCACTCCTCCACAAGGACAGCTTATCGACGACATCGTTGCACCAGTTACAAACATTGAGGCGAGATTGCCGCAGTCGTCTGCCAACCGCCTTGCACCATCTTCTTGCACAGTAATGGCTATGGCTATGCTCCCTTCGCCATTCCTGCTCTTCGTCTTTCACAACTACCGTGATATCATCTCCTCGCTTAACAAGGAATCGATGTAGGACCTGCAATTCCTGATGCGCACTGAAAAGGGCATCTCTCAGACTTTGCGCACCATGCACAATCTCGTCCACTTGTTCATCCGCCCCCTTGCTCCCCAAACCCTTCGACGAGCTGCATCCTCCATCCTTCGCCATACTCCACCTTTATAGATTGATGACACGTGTGAACTCAACGGTGGCCACCTGGCACGTGCCCGTGTCTTCACCCCACTCGGGCTCGGTGTGCGACCCAGGTGTTGACGTGTGCACACAAAGCGTCCCGCACCTGCACCCCAGGCTCCCTAGTCCAGAGATGGCGCACAGCATGCAACTCTCCTGCCACCGCACGACTGGGCAGAGGTTGTGTTCCACTCCCGACATCTGGTGGCTGCACGTACTCCTCTGGAAGATCACCCCACTCCTGAAGCAGGTTGTGCACTATACAAGCAGCCCAAAACTCATCCCCCTCGATCTTCAAATCACACACATGCGGCCTGTAGAAATACTGGAACCGCATTTTGAAGAGGCCAATGCCCCGCTCCACAAGTGAGCGAACAACCTTGTGTCGACTATCGAAAAKTTTGGTGTGCGGGTCCACATAGYTGTGGCCATACGGGACCACGAGCCAAGCCAATGTGGGATACCCACCGTCAGCAAGCAGRTATCCACCCGGGACTCCGGGAATTTCGGGACGCAAGTGCCTGGTCGGGTCGTCAGGGTCCGCTGAAAACAGCTCCCCCGACACGGCCCTCCGCCACAGAGATGAATTCCGCAGGACTCGGCCGTCGGCAACAGTACCCGGAAATCCATAACACAGGTCAAGAATGCGCAAGTCCGTATCGAACACCAACTGTGCCACGATGGAGAACCTTCGCTTGAGACCGCCCATGAAGTCGTCTCCGTCTTTCTTCTTAGGTTTGTCGACGAAAACATGAGTGCAATCAATGCACCCCCAACAGTTTGGAAAACCAAGCGCGGCGAACTTCTGCATCCGACGATGCCGCTCCTCGTACGTACCGAACCTGACCACCGATCCAAAACAAAGTATGATAGCTTTGGAAACATCACGCACCGCCCGTAGCCCGCTCGTTTTTCCCATCCCGTATGTCCATCAGCTATGGAGATGGGAGTCGCCATGTGCCCAATGGTGCAATGCATAAGCCAGCACCTGTGCGGGAGGCAATGGCTTCCTCCACCTGGTAACCTGCTTCTCCAGATGCGGTGCGAGCACACGAAGAAGGCGGTTGAAGGTAGATCTACGCATGCGCAACAGGGTGACGTAGTAGTCATCTTCAGCATCGTCAGTCACCTCGAGGTCCTTCCACGCACCACCTGTGCGACGCATTACCCACCAACGAGGTGGATTGCGAGGCATGACATCACAAACGTTCACTATGGCGGGCCATTGCCAACTGGTACACCTACGTCTCTTCCGGGATGCGCTGTCATCCTCTATGCCACACTCAAAAATGTCATCTATCACACGCTTCCCCGTCCATGGTGGCCTGCTCCAGATGTCGTTGAAAATGCGAACCGCATCCTCGCCGAGCTGAAGAGCACAAGTGAGGATGGGGACAATGGCATCCTCAACAGCTTTGTCGTCGTCGTCCATGATACGTACAACCTACCCAGAACAAACCACTACTCCTAACGTATTGCCAGAACAACATATCCGCTCTTGCCCCAAGGCCAAATGTCGTCAACCCTGACTGACATTCGCAGAAAGATCCGCCAAATAGAGGTGCCCTACCCCACAACCTCCCATTCCCCTCAACCACAGCCTCGTGACAACTACCATCTGCATCATACTGTTCGAAAATCTCCTTCCTGCGTCTACAGATGTCCTCATTTTTAAGAAACGGGGACTCGAACGCGCGCCCTATTGATTGCACGCGGCGTCCTTCCCTTCCGAGGCAATGGGACATGCGGAAATGACAGAGGGCGCGAACCTGGACATTGCTACAGGCCAGGTTCATGGAAGTCCATGCTCGGCCCGACTTTACTTGTTTTGGGGAGCAGTGGGCACGGTAAACGCGGACGGCACAAGTCAGAGTCCACTTTTCTCGTTTCAGAGGGCAGTGGACGTCATGAATACCTCCGAACATCGGCAAAATATCTATGTTTATTAAAATACAAAGAAATGAGGGAAACATCTAAACACACATTAAAAAAATGCCATATCGATTTTTTCGATTTAAAAAAGCCATTCTTTGCTGTCACACCGTTGAGCTGGCTGAACTCGACGGTGCTGGTGGGACAAGGTCCCTGGGCTACAGCCAACAAGTCGGCCGCCGCCACCTTACAAGGCAACCTGATTCTGTCTCCATGTCTCCGTAAAGAGACTGCTTTGAACAGACTAGAATTCCAGCACAGTGTGCAGGGTGCAGTAGCCCAGTGATTATTCCCAGGCCGTCTTCGGCCAGCACAGGATATACTGGGTGGTTTCAAATGGAGCCTTACTGCACTAGACTCAAGAAGCTTTTTGTATTTGGTAAGTGGAACGGTGTTTGAGCTTCAAGGTTAAATTTTGGGAAGGTTGTCTAACAGCATTAACCTAAACTGGGTAATGGCCCCAGTATTCTCCGGGGGTTCCTGCGGATTGCCCTCCTTCATTTCTGACCCCAGATTGCAGACGTCAACTGGGTACTTGGCTCCAGGTTGATTGTGAGAATTCCCGGTGTCCTTGTTTCAGTGAGTAATGAACTACATGGTACAATCTTCTCAAGATTCAAAATGGGAAAAAAAAACAAAAATCTTTATCCCTAACTTGGAAAACCACTCTCAACAGGGGGCCTAGCTCAGTTGGTACACCCATGATGAACTGTTGAAATACAGACCTGCGTTTGAGTCCAGCTGGAAGTACTGGAAGTAGATGAATGAAATGAAATCATTCTGAATTAACCGGGCCGCTCCGCTAGATGATGATATCTCAGGACCGTTGCCCTTTCAAAAGAAAAGAAAAAAGAAAAAGAAAAAACTAGCTTGAGCCAAATTCATCGGAGCAAAAACACTGCCTTTTTCGATCTTTGGTATGTAGCCATGGTGAGGAGACTGTCAAGGCCAATGGTCCAGGAGGTCAAAGCGGTGGCAAGAAGATTTATTTGGAAGCCCGGTTCGGATGACGCACAGGGATACATACCAAAGGTGGCTTGGTTGCCACTCTATGCACCCAAAGAGCAAGCGGGTCTGAACTTAATAAGGCCGGGAGATTCAGAACATGAAAGGATTTCACGCTGCATACACCCGAGTCCCAGTTCCAGGGTTCCAAATTGTCCCCGTCCCAGTTGGGCCCAGTCCCAGATGGTCCAGGTTCCAACCGTCCCGGTAGTTAGATCCCAGCTAGGGTATGTAAGGTCCCAAGGTTCATGGGAAGTCGAAGCGTAGTAGGCCATGCCGGGCTAGTACTGAATCAAACCAGTAAAAAGTCCAACCGGCACCCGACAAGGAAGGTCCAGGTCCAGGCCCGAAGTCCAATTTCGCAGCCGCGTTCCAGGAAAAGTCCGGAAGAAAGCAGGCAACCAAAAATCATGCAGCAGACAGGCCGCGGGTGACCGGTACCAGTCAGAAGCAGACCAAGACCAAGTCAAGCAACTATTAATAGCTGCTACATTGCAGCTCCCACATCTTTGGTCCTGCATGAGATGCGGAAGCGCTGCTGGTTGCTTGTGCGACCTCACAGCTTGGACTCAGCGCCAGAGGGCCTGTTGGGCGGGGCTAGGGTTGAGGAAGGCTGGTGTCCGTAGCCGCTATAGACATAGTTGCAGTAGGAGGAAGGCAGATGTATCCAGGGTTACGATCCAAGTAGTAGCACACATAGAGGGAGAGAGGAGAGGCAGAGCGATACAAGAGTTGAGAG